AGCAAATACGAGAAATGTAGCAAATAAAATAAATAAAAACATCCCTGAGTTCGGGGCGAAAGCTGTACAGACTGGACATCATACCTGCTTTTGGACCCGGTGATATGACAAACATTTATACACTTACATATTTGTCAGTTCCAGTTTTTAAAAAACATTGCACATCAAAGAAAAAGAAAACTTGGGCAAAGCCAAAACTGAAATTCCTCTTCAGCACACAATGACTCGGACTGTTAATCAGTCCACGAACGGCAAAAACAACAGATCGAGCAGAAAGAAAGAGCGACCGAAAGAAAGACAGAGGTCTATTCAGAGAGCCTGAGGGAGAGTGACCAGACGTATTGTCTGCTGCCTGCTGAGAGAGGAGGAGGAGGATGAAATGAAGAAAGATGATGGAAAAAAAGAGGGCAAAAATAAGTTTTTTTTCTTGAGTCGACGCCATCGAACTGCTGCCCAAAAACGCTAAAGAAAGCACATGATTCTAAATTAAATCACGTCACGTAATTTTCCATGATTTTTTAAAATTATTCTGTATAAATTCAAGAAATAGCTTTTGTAATTTAATATACACAACTGACATGTTTGTATTATTAATCTTTCATTTAATGGGTGAAATACCTTAGTGATAGTTCAAGGGGAAAAAAGTGAAGACAAGTCTTCTATTAGGAAGAATGAAGAAAAACATTCAGACAAGACGATATGAAGGAAGGCCCAAACATAGAAAAGGAGTTTGAAAATGGAAAAAAGGGGAATGGCATGGGAAAAAGTGGGACTGATAAAGGAAAGAAGGTCAGATAGATTAAAAAAAAAGTGAAAGGAAAAACTTGCTGTTTTATGGGGAAAAGGGAAAGAACGAAGAAGCATGAAACAAAACTATATTATGGGAAAGATTTGAAGAAAATATGTGGCTCTTTACCCAGGACAGTGTCAATGTGTCAACGAAATTCATACCACTACGGTTCATTCAGTGTACAATTGAGAGCAGAGTGTACAATTGTTAGGTGAATATGTGTGACACTGTGTTAATATTCCCAAATGAAACACGTCAAAACCTCTGACTTTTCTTCTATTGCAACAATGAATTTAGCATTTGTTGCTTTGAGTTAGCTGGACTGACATAAAAGTTTGCACATGTACTTGTGTCTCTCTGAGGATGAATCCTTAAAATGATATACTAATCAATGAATGAACTGACTTTTCTCAGGCTTCATGGTTTCAACAACTGCTGGATGGAGAACTATAAAATTGTGTATATTCTGATGCTTGACTTTAGACCAATGCAACAACAAATTTAGGTTTGTACCTTTAAGTTGAATATTTTGATGAGACTGAATGCCATTAATTTCCCCCCCGAGGAACAGTAGTAAATGCTAGCTGGAAAACTGTGACTGAGAGAACCTCAAAACTACTGGATTGAAACAAATGTTCCCTTCATAACAGCTAAGTTTTTGTCCAACATCACGATCAGGTTTACACTTCAACCTGGGTCCTACTTCAAAATGTCAGCAAAAACGTAATTTTGATTAACCTCATCTAATGCTGTAGTATAACACTAACAATATAGCTCGTTAGCATGCTGATGTTGGCACACTGAGAAAAGCATTTATTTTTAAAGCTACAGAGCTGTTAACATGGCACTCACCAAATTCTGCATGATTTTTACCTCATTCATACATCTCCATGTAATCAGCATACATCTGAAAACCTGCTCCAGAGCTGAGGGAAGTCTTTTAAACATGAAGAAAAACAAGTGGGCTGAGAATAGATCCCTGTGGAACACCTGTTGGAAAAGACTAAGTTTTTTAAAATCATTTTTCTGATTAGAAAGGAAAGATTTGAACGTTTGCCATGTTGA